TACATCTGGTTGCAATGTCCATATGAAAACTCTGAAAATAATGTTAGTCTTGCTCTTCAACTTTTAATAGAGAAATTCAAAATATCTCATTTTTTATTGGCTTAGTTGCACTTAAATGCCTTATACTTTCCCCTGCTTTGCAGTTTTATAGCCTCACTTGTTTCTAGTTGCACTTAATATCCTTAGTTGCAGGATATGCAAACGCGAGAATTTTCTCCCAAAAATCCTCATGTGACACTCATGCTAATTTTAGAACTTTTTAACCCTTAATTTTTGTTAAATTTACTATTAAAATTACCCTAATTCTATTTTAAACCTACCCTAATTCTATTTTAAATTAGGATTTTGATAGGTTTTATAGCAGAGTTCACAAATACTAAGAGTTAAAATGTTCTAAAATCATATGTGAGTATCGCATGATAACTTCTGGGTGAAGTCACTTTTGCATAACTAAGGATATTAAATTGCAAATTTTAAAAACTTAAAAGGTATATAAGTGCAACCAAAAGCAAGTGATGTATATAAGTGCTAAGTAGTGGCAACTGTATGGTATTTAAGTGCAATTTAGCCTTTCTGATAGAAGCGTGTAAAATTTGTCGTAACCTTGGACACGTCAATTATTTTGACTGTCTTTTTTCGCTATACTACATATTTGATATGCAAATGAAAGTAAGTAAATATCTCAACCATGTAATGTGGATAGTAGTGCATGAGAAGTATCCTGTTCGACGTGTATCCATGAAATTTCCAACAATAGCTTTAAATTAAAACGTATAATATGTTAGTGCGGACATATTTGAGAATGTCTCCTGTTTGACTGACTAAAGGTTTTGGTATACCACTTGAAGTGGTCCTTGTATGTAGCCTTTCATCATATTACCATAATTCGTATTTTTTGTAAACCTGTGTTAGTAACAAGTTCTATGTCTAGCTGGTCATTCTACTTTTTAGATCTTCTGTTGAAAGAGCATGCAATCAAGGAGCAGCACTGAGGTTCACCTAGATTAATAAAGTGCCTAAGGGAAGAGTCATGACAAGATTTTCTGTAGAATATCACATTTCACTTTTATGGCATCTATACAATCAACCCTTGAGCGAAATGAATACAAATTATTTTATGTACTACAATTGTTTCATATATGCATTAGATATTAAACAAGATTCTCACACAGGGAACTGGAAAACGCCTTTGTTTCTATATCACAGCAATGCTGCTCAAAAAGACCAGGCCCCTCATTAGTAGGGTAAGTTGCGCTGTTTTTTCTACTTATTTTACTTGATCATATTTTGATTGTTCTATTTGGCTGAAAATCAGATTTCGGTTTGCTACTCGATCCTTTTTTGTCTGTTCTATTTATGCTGAAAACTGAATTTCGGGTTTGCAGATAGCTGCTGGCTTAGACTTATACTGTAAATTTTTAAAATCTTTCAGGAGCAATTCAAAAATTGGTAATTTTTTGTTGCCCTTCTCTGAGGATGAAATCTATACTGATGCAAATATTAAATCAAGGTCAGTGGCTCCTATGAAGGGAAATGCCCAATGGGAGATGCTTGAGCTCTATCTTGTAAGTAGTTTATGCAGTTCTGTCTTTTGGTTTCGTTCTTCTTATTTATCTCATATATCCAGTTTCAGTTATGCTTGTAATTTGGTTCAAGTTATTATTTTCTCATTCTTGGATTATTGCTCCCAAAATGCTTCTGGTGTTTCTTGTTAGATGTCTATTTGCTTTAGTTCTAGGGGATAAGAGCTTTCCTCAAATACTAAGCTCTGTCCTGCTGGAGTGGTTCGTAACTTTTCTTTGTAACTTTTTTTTTCCTTCCGTTGGGAAAAGGGTCATAACTTCCCTTTGTAGCTACTTGCTGCAATTCTCAAGGTAATTTTACGAAATGATCCATGTGTTTATTTAGTTTTTAGGTGCAGGTGAGTGATGGAATCGTAGGTTTCTTATACTTAATACCGATTCTTCTCTTTTGCAAAAAGTGAAAGGAATATATCCTTAATGCTAGTTCAGCACTACCTGCAGCTTTTGTGGTTGATATTAGAGGATTCTTTGTATGGTAAATGTATATATAAAAATCGTTTGATGGTCATTTTTCTGATGAAGCAACTCGAATAACTTGCAAAAGTTGATAGCTGCTCAATAAGAATTAATGGGCGACCATTTGTATACGCAAATGAATCAAACCAACTTGCAGAAAGTGAGCCTTTGATAACGGGACATGTTAAGCATAGTATGTTCCTAGAAGACACAATAAGCCTTTTGTCCGAGGCACTTGTTCCTCTGTATGATTAGGGAATGTTTACTTCATTATATTTATCTCAAGCCTGCAATACTTGCAAATCACTTCGATGCCATCATAAGTAGCATTTGTATGTCCCAACACATAAACTTGTTTCAACTCCAACATGGTGCATGTTTGTTCATAACATTTTTTCCCCTGAAAAATTCAATTTTATCTTTTATTTTGTAATTTGTTGTTTCACTTCTTTATATCCTGAAAAAATTTCCTATTTATATGTGTGTACCTCATATTTCTTGTGTTAAATAATACCTTTCTTTTCACAGGAGAAGTATAAAAAATTACATCCAAGATTGCCTGTGACAGTTGCTGAAACACTTCTACATACTGATCCTCAGATTGAGCTGCCCCTTTGGCTTGTTCACATGTTCAAGGTAACACGTGCAACTGTATCATAGATTTAGATATCCTTTGTGGGGCCGCTTGAGATCACAGCAGTGATTTCCTGGAGGATATTAGAAGTTTCTCTTAACATGAAGGATTGCATGAAAATCTGCTTTTTCTTTTCTTTGCTTCTATCACATTCTCAAACTTCAGGTAAAAGAAAGTCGGGTAGCCATATGACCTCCAGAATCCCATCTGCACATGTTTCCCCTATTAAAATGGCCAGTTGTCAATTTTCTTTCTAATGTCGTGTACATAAAATGCAGTAGTGCGGTTATGATATGATGATTTGATTATAGGAGCTTAAGTTAGACATCAGATATATAAGTTGTGGTAGCCTACTATTCATTTTTTTGGTGGAACAAATGTCATAGCTACTATCTTCTTTTTGGAGAAGTGAATATGCACAAACCCACATTTTAACCGTCTCACTTTATGAAAATCCTCAGCAGTCATGGTGCATACACATGCTCATCCCTGAGATCCCCCAACAGCCAAGAACATCCGTATGTGTTCCTAGAGTAAAGTCCTTTTAAAATTTGATTACAGCTTCTGACTTCAAAGATGAATAGTTAGCTGTCAACTGACCATTTGATTTTTTAAGGTTTATTTACACTTGTCATAACCCTTTAAGGGACATTTAGTACCTGGCTCGACAGGTGAATGGTTACTTATCAGCATGACTATTTGACAATTCCAGAAATCAAAATTTTAGCATTGCTTTATCTTTCATAACCCAGGGCCTTAAAACTAATGCACATTAACGCAGTTGCACATTTATGCAGTGAATCCTCTATTGAGTATAGTTGCAAACTCAAAATTTAAATTTATTAGTTATTAGTCAATGTTTATTTAACTAATTAGGTTCAGACTGTAGGAGAGACTTTAATTACGTTCTTGTCTTGTCTTTGGGATGAGGCTTGGCTCATTAAATTCATGAGTTTACACTGCTTGAATACAGGGGTATATATTCCTACCTGTTAGCAAGGTTCTATATGGGCCTCTCTTGCTGTTAGTAACTTGACCGGGAATCTATGACCAAATTATGGAGAGCTGATTGCTACTCTAGAGTGATTGCAAGATTCATCAAACCTTTTCTTTTCTCAGACTTCAGTTCATGTTTAATAGTCATCCTTTTCTGGTTTCTTAAAGGACTTAGGTATGATAGTGATGATGATTTTCATTTTTGGATTGTTAGGGTGCCCGTGCGTCCACATCTTGGGGAATGACTGGCCATGAAGCGGATCCTGCTACATTGTTCAGACTCTATGTGGATTACAATCGACATGCTGAAGCCACAAATTTGTTACTGGAGTACTTAGAATCATTTGCTTCTTTGGTAATCTATCTTTTTTCTCCTAATATGCACGAGTCTTTCTGCACTGTTCTTAATCTGAAGGATAGACTTTTTACTTTGTCATTTCCAGAGGCCAGCAGATGTCATTAATCGGAAAAGGATGTCAGCAATTTGGTTCCCTTACACAGCAATTGAGCGACTATGGTGCCAGCTTGAAGAGCTGCAGAGCACAGGACACATGGTTGATCAATGTGATAAACTCAAGAGACTATTACATGGGGCTTTACTGAACCACTTGAAGCAGGTAGTTGTCCTCCTTGATGGTAAAGTTTGTTGTCAGCTGTTGCAATATTTAAGTCAACAAAATTGTTTTTTAAGCTTTATCAATAGCCGAACCATTCTTCAAAAAAATATTGCAAAGTTAAGTTCATCGCAAGTGTTCGAATAACAAGGTTGTGGGATTTCTTGTCCAAATTAGTTATATTCTTTTTTTGGGAGATTTTCTTATTTAGTTTTTCCAATATAATTGTTGGTCACAGGTTAAGGTTGATTCAGATGATGCTGTAGCCACAGCATTTAGACAAGAAATGCAGAATGAGAATGGCTCAGTATAATCAGAAAGTAGATGCATGTAAGTATAATTATTGTATTGAATATCTGTTCGAGTTAGTATGTTTTTATTGTTAGTATTAGTATAGTATACTGGATATGTAATGATCGCTTGGCGCATCAGCTTTCTATTTGGTACGAGATAGTTTTTTCTTAGTGTTGTGTAACAAGTGCAGACATTTTGAGTGAATGTTGTTTCAAAGTAAATCTCTGTACAGATTAAACAACAGAAGTTCCTGCCTTTAACATTTTAGTGTGCCTATGGTCACGTTAGTTCTTGAAGTCCTCATTAATGAGTTATCTACAGGTGTTCTGTTTTGAAGTTTACAGTCGAGTGAAGTGAACTGAAGGTTATTGTCATTTGATCATATTCTTCACAGGAGAACCCCCAGCATGTATATTGACATCCTTTTTTTTTTTTTTTGATTCAACTGAAGAAACTTTTGCTGAGAATTAGTCATAGAAATTAATTCTTCATGGCGGTTTGAAACCAGTACATGTTATGGGCACTGAAAAGCATATTGTCGCTATTTGCCATTTTGAGCGTTGGGAGTGGTAAATGTCAATAGAAATTCAAAATGTAGTGGGAGGCTCATTTGCTGTTCTGAACTAACGAGGCTCATTTGTTGTTCTGAACTAACGACTCTTCCAATGTTACCTTCTTTAGTTGAATTGAAACTGTTTATAGAGTAAATATTGGTATTATCGTGTTTGTATTTGTTTTTGAAGTGATATATACACGAAGGGTTTTTCTATAATATATTGGTAGTATCGTGTTTGTATTTGTTTTTTAAGTGATATATGCACGAAGGGTTTTTCTATAATATGCCCTGATGTGCAATATTTAATAAGAATGTCACTGTGCATAGCTACTGTATTAACCTCATCTTCTGTTGAAGATCATGATTTTTTATCGTGATACTTGCACGTTAACTTCATCATACAGATAAACCATAATAACAAGATGAAGATCAGAAAAACCTATGATTGCTGATCACAGTACACCATCTTCCCTCCCCTAACACATAAGCCTTGCTCCCCAATCTCCTCCACCAACTTCCCATAACTATACCGAAGTGGCATTTCACCGAACACCTTGTGGAACTCCCTTATACACTCCCCTCTCTTCTTCCAGTGATCCCTTCTTCCACTCAACCCTCTCTCTCCTCCTCCATCATCGTTCCTCGGATCTCCCCAATCCCTAACCCCTCCCTTCGCTTCCACCACCAGCGGCCCCTCCCCTCCCTCGACAGCTGCGCCACAAAATTCATCAGAATATCCTCGCAATTCCTCTCTTTCTCCACATACTCCCTTGCAGCCTTCCATTTCTCGGAGCAGCTGTATCTGTATGGTAAACAAAGTAAACAAATAATTTTTAATATTCACTTCGTAAACAAATAGAATTTAACCGGACGTATATTTGTTTCCGTAGCATATTAAAAATATCCATCTAAAATTTTGATATATATATCTTCTCAATGAAATAGTTTAATATTTATAAACTAAGAAAGGCTAATCAAATAAATTAATTGTGTATACGCCCGATGTGCCGCTTGTATTGAGTGAACTTCTTCTTGACTATTATGCCCTTCAGAGTAAAATAGTAAACGAGCATCAGCTAATATCGAACTTTAAGCTTGTATTAGTATTTACAATTCGAATTGATGATTTTAAGCGAACGCACACGAAAACGAACTATCTTGTACGTACTATTCGGTTCCGCTAGTCTGCAGCCCCCCCTACCCTACCTGTAGAGATACTCCGTGTTGAGGATCATGAGCTTGGTCAGGACGATGGAGTACCGAGACGGGTGAACCGTGTAGATCCATGACTTGGCATCAGGGTCGAAGTCGTGGGACCGAGCGAAGAATCCGACGACGGGTCGATGCGAGCGAAGGAGAGAGGCTCTGAACGCAAAAGAAAGGGAGGAAGGCCTGGCGCGGCCTCAAACGTCAGTCGTCGGGATATGTCTGCAGGACGGAACGCGGGTGCGGGATGCAGGCGGGGCCCAAGGCTCGGAAGAACACGGGAGGAGAGGGTAGGAGGAGGGGGCCAGGAGGAGGATACGGTCGGCGGGAGGCCGGGAGAGAGGGCGGCTGGTGGGCAAAAAGAGGCGATTCGCACCAGAGGATGAGGACTTTGCGCGAACCGACGGGGGGTGGGCGGAGTAGGAGAGGGCGAGGGAGAGGAGGCGAGGGATGCGAGAGGGGGAGTAGCCGGTTATGAGGACGGTGAGCCGGTCGGATTCGAGGGCGAGGGGGTTCGGATGGTTGAGGGGGTTGCAGGCTTCGATTGGGTTGCTGCTGTCGCTGCTGTTGTTGTTGTCGTCGTCGTTGTGTATAAATGATGGCGAGTTTGATGGGAGACTGATGAAGGCGAGGAGGAGAGAGGGGAGGAGGAGGCGGAGCATTTTATTTTTATTTTTTTTGCTTTGATGGGAGGCAGGAATTGGTTGGGTTGTGTTAATTGGTGATTATTTAGATTGTTATGGTGTTTTGGGAGTCGGCGCAATGTGTAAAGCTTACTTCATGTACATTAGAAAAAGGAAAAACGAGAAGTAGGCGAGAGTTGCCTTAATAAAATTTCTTTTTACGATAACGGTCGTCTGAAATTGTAAGGAACGTCTCCTTGCTGATTTAGAAAAGGATTTTTTTTTTAAATAGACCGATTTTACTAAATATTTAGCAAAACCGACATCTTTTTTGTCAACAGGTCAAAAAGAGATCGATTTTAAAAAACAATCAGCTGAAAACATACGGTGAAAACATACGGGACTACTAGTCCCGTATGTTTTCAAGGGTACTAATCATTGATTAGTGCTCACAGAATCACATAATCTGACGAAATACACAACATCACATCCAAAATTCTACAAAAATACACATCATCACAAAATAGTTCCAAATGTATCAAGTCTAACCATACGATAATATGTAGTCTAGGCTAAACAAATCCAAATGCATCAATAAATCCATACGACAATATATAATCTACATGGAAAAACTAACAAAGGAAAAATCCACCCCTCCCCCGTTGTCTCAGTCTTTCGCACCCGCAGAGATCGTCGGTGGCCTCCTTCGTCTTGAGCTTGTATATGCTCGCTCTCCGATTGTGTGTGGGGCTATGACGGACCAGCTTGTTGTGACGGACCAGCTTCATCATCGTGCGTGCAAGATCTACCACGTCTACGTTGGCGTACATATGTAGTATCTTCAAGATCCACCTGCTTACGACCATCATGCCGATCCTCATGAGTTTGTTGAAAAGCTCTACGAACTCTCGCCACTACCCGCTGCAATATCGTTACGTGAGTCAGTGGCACACCTAACTTGCCACAATAAATTTTGTAAATTGACCTCTCCATGTTTTCTCTTAAAATTAGCTCTTATATGCCGCAAGCAATAACAGTGATGATGTGGTGCACTTCACCCCTCATGAAAGGCTCGTGGAATTCCTTTCATTCGGTCAGAAATAAATGTAATAACTCTTGGACTTTGAACAGTCGGAATGTATTTGTAAATACACTGACAAAACCACTTCCAACTCGATGTATCCTCCACCTCCACAACTGCGAAAGCTATTGGAAATAGCTCACCGTTTGCATCTACACTGGTCGCAACCAAGAGCACTCCTTTGTATTGCCATATAAATGTGTTCCATCGATGCTTAAGAGCGGACGACAAAAAGAAAACCCTTTGATAGCGGGCCCAAATGCCCAAAATACCCGGATGAACCTCTCCATTACGACGTGATCTCCTTAGACACTATCTCATATTCGGTACTCAGATTTTTTTCTCTTAATTGATGCAAGATAATGTGGAAGTTTTTGGTAAGATTCTTCCCAATCTCTAAAGATTTTAGTCAACGACTTCCTCCATGCATCATATGCTTTAAACTTGGATATAGTTATGCCTTTCATAGCACGAACCATTGTAATTATCTGTCTTGGAGTAAGATCAAATTCCCGCCTAACTTTAGGCATAATTAGCTTCATGATATAAGCTGAAGTTGTTGTCTTATGATATTAGCGACAGTTGGATTGCAACATATATGAAGTCCGTAATAACTTGAGATCATAAATTGCCCGTTAGATTTTTTTTCCTAACACATGCATTAAGCTTCCATGGACATTTTAAATTTCTATCATATGCAGCACTTGTATAAGCGGCTTGACATTTCTCATTGAAGTAGCACTTTACATGGTAGCTAGTGGTATTGGATTTCGCCGGCTTGAATTTGACCCGTTTCCTAATTGCCTATTCACGTATAGCAAAAATTAAGCTTTCCTTATTCTCGAATAGATCTCCTTTTTTGAAAGTGATATCCTCAGGTCGATCGGAATTAGGACCAGGCTCAACTAACTCAGCTTGGGAGTTATTTATCCACTCGTCATTTTTAAACTTTTTGGGGAATGGTTCTTCAGACTCTACATAATCGTTATTCACGCAATATTCATTCATCCAATTTGCGTCATCATTGTTCTCTCTAATTACGAACTGCATACTATCAAGACGTTCCTCCTCGGACTCAACATCTTTACTATCATCAGCAGCATCTACATATTTGTCCTCTTCTATTACAGAACCACCAACCGCTAAATCAACTGAAACATGACTCGATGCGTTGTGAAACATGTCACTTGACATTGCACCTGAGTCATTTTTTAAGTGCAAGGCACTTTGAGATAACGAGATTTGACTTTCAAGCATGCGAGAGAACTCTCCGTGAGCATACGAAACTTCAACAACCCCAAACTTTGGAATATTTTCAAGGAACAACTCAATTGCGATTTGTTTATTCGTAAGTTGTATCATGTCATTCAATTCTTCATCAGTGGTGATCTCTACAACAATTGTTCTTTTTTTATTTATTGGACAATTACAAAAGACCTTAATGGTATTTTCAGCATGATTAATTCTGATAACTCTGTATATTTGCTCCATCATTCCATCGAAATTGTAATTTTTAGACAACATGAACATTTTTCTAGAGCCTCCGTCATATATAAGCAAATTATTCATTCCAACACTCAATTTCCCATTGAATAGGCAAATAATCGGAATTCCATTCGCCATTATAACTGAAGAATTAAAATTTGACGTATACAAATTAGATATTTTACAAATTGATGATCATAATTAATTATTTTCTTTAGATATATCTCTAGATATACAATATTAACTAAAAAATAGAGAAATTTATGAAAAAAATATGATATTGTTACCTTGATGAAATTTCAGATCTCGTCAGCGTCGAAGAGTATAGACGGCGTCGGCGTCGGAGATAATAGACAGCGACGGATTTGAGGGAGGAGGGGGTGAGTTGGATTTGGGAGAGAGAGCGTTTGGGAGAGATGGAGATCGGGTTTGGGTGTGGCAATCGGGTTTAGGAGAGAGTTCAATGGGTTTGGGAGAGAGTGAGATGGGTTTGGTTGAGAGAAGATCAAGAGATTGAGAGTGAGATCGGGAGAGAGAACTCTTAGACAGATGAGTTTAGGAGGAATAGCGGTTGTGCCCAAATTTAGGGCATAGCTGGTGTTAAATAGATTGACTTTTCTACGGGACTGGTAGTCCCGTAGATCTAGGCCAGCAAAGCTGCGAAGGTTCTGCTTTATGTATGGGACTAGTAATCCCGTACGTTTTGTTGAACACCAAAGAGCTCCCATAAATCATACGGGACTACTAGTTGAAAGTACCCTAATGCCACTAGGAAAGAACCCTAGAGGGGGGTGAATAGGGTTTATGCTAATCTAATCCGATTTATGCCAAATTAAAACTTATTAACAAATATATCCTAACAAGAATGATATATTATAAATATATGCTCAAGGATATACAAGTAACACAAGGGTAAATACTCTAAACTAGATAGTGGGTAATATAAACAACAAGCAATATACAAAGGCGATATAAGATATGAACATAAAAATAAGTGCGCCAATGCAATCACAAACAAATGACATGTTCACGGAGTTCGGTCCCCACGACCTACATCTCCGCTCCTCACCTCGAGGAGATCTCTACTATCACACCGGGTTTTCTACGCTTACCCGAAAAACGTTTACACCTCACAATGTCGGTTTTCAACGCTCACCGATCAACGTTCACAATCACTCACAATGTAACTACACTAACTACCACCTCAAGTGTTGGTCTCTAGCTCGTGTCTCCCTCAAGTGTTAGGAATTATAACATCTTTCTAGGCATTACCACCTACCCCACTCCTCTCGGGATGACCCCGTCTCTCACCACACACTCCTCTTAGTGTACTAATGTATTACAAAGTGAATCCTCACAATTAGGCTCAATACAAATAAATTGTTCTCTACAATGGATGAGAACACAATGTAAGCTCACACTCAATGTCACACAAACCCCACAATCCAAATTATATAATGTATAAAAATACAATAAGCTCAATGGTTGTGTGTGTAAACAATGAGATAAATAAATAAAAACTAAACTCAATGTAAATCTAGCTTATGAAAAATTAAGTTCAAACATATAAATTGCTAGAAATAGAGTTTAGAAAAACTTCTCTATAGACCAAGAGAAAGAGGGAGAAGAGTTAGATGCTCAAACACAATAGATGATCTCCACTTGCACTTGTGAAATTCTCTTCACAAACAAAACTCTTAAACACTCTTTTAAACAAACTAAAACAAACTTTAAACCCTTGTTAAACTTGTTTAAAACATTCTTGATTGTTGCAATAGAACTGGGTATAAGAGGGTATTTATAGGAAACCCCAAAGATCAAGAAACCCCAGCAAAAAGACCAAAAAACCAAAACATGACAAAGACTGAAAAAACTAGGACTGATGGCTTCCATCAGTCGACTGATGAGCTGACCGTTAGAGGTATTTTCCAGCTCATCAGTCGACTGATGACCTTATCAGTCGACTGATGATCTCATTAGTCGACTGGTCAGTCGATCAAAACAAAACAGAAACTATTTGTTGTTCCAGGCGATTTCTTCAGTCGACACATCAGTCGACTGACCAGTCGACTGATAACAGGTTATCAGCCTGTTTTGAATAGTAAAACTGATTTTGAAGTGCCTTTAAAAATAGCAAATAAATTCCAAAAAATATAAAACTTTGGAAAATCATTATAAACATGTAAACAAACATGTTACAAAAAGAATTTTTGGAATTACACTTCTCAATAGTGAAAACTCATCATTTTTCAAATATGTCCAAAAACATGAAAACTAAACATACATGTTTTTGTCATTTGACATAAACACAATATTAAAAGTTTTGTAAAATGATTTTATAGACTTAATGAATTGATATAAACTGATATTAAAATCTATAAACAAATAAAACAATATTTTATCAAAAACACCTATATTTTAATAAAATCAACAAATACGTGTGTGTGATTAATATGAGCTTAAAGTATCTACACACAAGTATAAACCTAAAACTAAATTACCCAAGTTTGATAAATCTTCAATATGCTTGACTTGGTTGCGGATGAAGCTTGATCTTGAATATGATTTGATGTGCAATGGCTTCATTCCACTATTCCGCCAACCTCAATTTGATGTGATCGTGAAGGCTCAAACCATCCAACCTCCAACTTCGTTGTTTGTCTAGAATACCTAATAAGAAACACAAACACTAGACAAACAACATTAGGAATTGTTTGTAATCATCAAAACAAGATTAGAAGATGTAGGGTCATAACATGAGACCTAACACTAGTCCCGTATGTTTTCAAGGGCACTGATTAGTGCCCTTGAAAACATACAGGACAAGTAGTCCCATATGTTTTCAGCTGGGTGTTTTTTAAAATCGATCTTTTTTGGCCTGTTGGCCAAAAAAGGTCGATTTTGCTAAATATTTAGCAAAATCGGTCTATTTTAAAAAAAATCCTTTAGAAAAAAGTAACGATAAATCTATTGTTGTACCGCTCTTGTGGTGCTACGCAAAAAAAGATGGGACTCTTTCCTATAAATTGGCAAAATAAATTTTAGAAAGTCATCATCTCCAAATCTCTGCGTGTGTGTAGCAGTACAATAGAACTACTACACGAAAGAGCAGAGACCACGACAATGTAGAATTTCTTTTTGCATTTCATAAAAAAGGATTTCTCTTTGTTGTGTGTAATAGGATAAGTATCAAGACTCTTTATAGTACATTTATGAATAATCGTTTCTTGCGAAGTGTAAGGAGAAATCATAAGCGTTCGTCAAAGTATAAAATGTAGGTGCTCTCAGTCTCAGAAATCTAATGATAAGTCAAGACGCCATCCATCGTGAACGGGTTTCTAGACATCATCATAGTGCAATGCTACCTAATAATCTCAGTAACTTTGTTGTATGAAAAAGAAAACGTCACCATCTTTTGGAGAAGAAAACGTGTGGGATTTTTATTTTTAATTTTCATTTTCATTTGTTTGTGGATGGGTGAGGTGAGGGCTCCAAAATACGTTCAACGCGTAGCCCAGCTGTTCGGCAGCAGCTCACATGATAAGGGCAAACTTCCATATAAGAAGGCCATTTTGGGCACGTTTGGCTAATACTCATTTCATTTTTATGAAGCTTTTATAAGTAACGATCGTGGACATTGATAAGAAAAAACATGTTTATAAGTTACAATAAATCACTTCCTAGACGTGCCCTTAAACCCCTACCCGCCCCCGTCATCCCCAAGACCCTAAGCATTCCCCTTCCAAAACCCAAAAAAAAAAAAAAAAAAGGAATAACCTCTCCCAAAACTCCTCGCCCTCCAGAGACATCAACAGCAAGAACAAGCATGCTCCATCTCCAAAAGTGAGCTCGCCCACAACGAATCCCGAGGCCTCGACTCAAGAGAACCATCCCTCGAAGCCATCTCCGACCTCAAACCTCTCCAGCACTCCACTCCACTCCGCACCCACGCAAACCAAAAAGGGCCGTCTCCACACCGATGCCACCTCCCAAGTGCTTGACAATGTCAACGCCAGCCTCTCCATCCTCAACACGAAGCTCAACTCCACGCCTGGACTCCCTGTATCCATTGCCATTACCTCCAGCGCCGTTTTCCACGCCATCACCCGCATTTGTGAAGTCTTCCAACTCGGTTACCCAGAGCTCCAACTGAGCTCTCGTTATATTAGATTAGAAAAATTGTTGTCATTACAATTTGTCTCTAATGTCAAAAATCAGAGGAAAATAGCTGGTGAATCGCATTACGATTAGTGAAGTGGTGACTTGAACCCCTATCACTGAAAAAGCAGATACCTCATGCAATTTTCTAATAAAAATAAATATTAACTATGTTTAACCGTCAAGAAATCCTAAGATCAGACCTATTCTAAAACAACGATGAAGCTCTGATTTATTGCACATCTGGTTGCAATGTCAGGATAATGGAGGAGTAGCTCAGCATGGGGTAGAGGTTGGAGTCTAGGAAGTTGGATTGTTGCTTGAGGACGGTGGAGCGATCATGCAGATCAGCAGTGAGGAAATCATACGGTGGGGGTTTGCTTGTGTCGACGAGGGGTTCCCATCGGTAGCCAGGGCGGTCAGGGAGGGTTACGGCGACCGGTAGATGGCTCGTGTTGAAGGCAATATAGATCTCAATCTTCACCGAATCAATCTGATTTAGAAGATAAAACATAGTATTAGATAACTAGAATAAGTCTCGAACGGATTGTCGTTCGCGAGATCAGTTTATTACTGAAAACTTCAATACTCCATAGGACAAATTTTCAAAACCAACCCCTTTCACTATTTATTTTCAAAAAACGACCGCTTTTGCAAAAAATTTCAAAAACCGACCTGGTTTGAGCCCTATCGCTGAAACCAGGTCAGTTTTTGAAATTTTTTTTACGAAACTTCACGGGAGTTGAACTCCCGTGAAGTTAAGCATATTTCTAAACTTCACGGGAGTTCAACTCCCGTGAAGCTTAATTTCGTGAATAAGTTCCACAGGAGTTGAACTCTCGTGAAGTTACAGGCCAAATTTCCCAGAGAATCGCTCTCTGGAAAATTTGTCCTGCAGCTTCACGGGAGTTCAACTCCCGTGAAGCTGCAGGACAAATTTTCCAGAGAGCGATTCTCTGGGAAATTTGGCCTGTAACTCCACAGGAGTTCAACTCCCGTGGAGTTTCGGCCACCCCTATATAAGCGCGCACGTATCATTCCCGATCTCACTTCTCTCTCACGTCGCCGCCCCAAACCCTAGCCCTCTCCCTCGTCCCAACCGCCGCCGGCCAGGTCATTTCTGACCGCCTCCCCCCCAGAACCCCACTCCAACCGCCGGAACCCCATTCTGACCGCCGGCACCTCATTCCGACCGCTGGAACCGCCGTTGTCGCCGGAGTTCGACAGATTAAAGGTAAATTCCTTCCATAATTATTTATTCTCTTAATTTCTTGTATTTTCTCACTATTTCATGGTGATTACATGTAAAAAATTAGATTTTAGAATTTAATTGTGAATTATTTATGAATTTTGTGAAGAAAACTTAAATAATTTTGTCGATTTAGACGGTAAATTATCAATAATGTAAAAAATAGTGTTACTACATATGTATGACATCTAATTGATTTTTAAAAATAGTGTTATCAATAATTTTGTCGATTTTAGAATTTTTAGTGTTATATGGCATCAATTAGATTTTAGAATTTAATTGTGAATAATTTATGAATTTTGTGAAGAAAAAGTAAATAATTTTGTGGATTTGGAGGTAAAATCATCAAAAATAAAAAAATTAGTGTTACTACATATGTATGACATCGGTATATGAATTTGGGTAAAATTATGGTTCCCTAAAATTAATATAGGATTTAATGGTAAGTAACAATAAATTTTTAAAGTCTTTTCGTGTAATATACTAATATTGATCTTGAATGTTTTACTCTTCAGAGGTAATGATGAACGATCGAATCGTAATTTTGTGTTCGTATGATGGAAAGATTAACTACCTCAAAAATAATATGCCCTTTTATGAAGGAGGTGCGACGAGACCGTTGTTTATCACAAAATCGTGTATTTTCGATGAGTTAGTTAATGAATTACACAAACTTACATTAACCAACTCACGTGAGTATCACCTCAATGTTATTTGCAATTATCCTGTTGTGGAGAACAGGACAAGCGGCATTCAAATATCAAGTGACTACGATATGAGTCTCATTGGAGTCTTACATGACGAGAAGCGTTCGATCAAATTGTTCATTGAAAAACATCAAAGGAATTTGGGCAAATCGTTGAATTATGACGGAATATATTCCCGCATGTTGGAGGACCCTGATGTTGATTCAGTTGGCTTTTTATCTCCTCAACAAGATGAAGGTTAGACACAATCACAATATATGAGCGGTCCTTCGTTTGTGGGCACTTTGAATATGGTCGATACTAACACGGGAGTTCAAGAAGATAATACAAGTGTTGAATCTGAGAATGATGATGAAGAGGAAGGCTTAAAAATTAATAGCATGACCTTGATAGATCGTGATGAAGGGGATAACCATCACATTGACGGGTGTTATGCTAATAATGAGTATGTTATCTTAGAGGATCCGCCGCCCGATGAACTTCAAGGAGAAGAATGGATTGATAACTCTGTGATGGAAAGTGTTCCTATTAGCACTAATAGCGGTCATGATACACAGGGCGATGACTTCTCATTCGTGAAGGGAGATCTTTATGAAAGTAAGGAGAAATTGATTCATGCGCTTCGCTCGTATGCCATTGCAAAAAATATCAAGTTTAGGCCAACAAAAAATAACACAAGCTATAATACGGTTTGTTTTTATCGCAAAAATGGTGACGATGAAGATCTTGGTGGACACTACGACGGGAATGCGAATTGTCCTTGGAAGCTTAATTCACGTTCGGGTGTAAGAGTAGGTGGGTATTTCAAAATTACGGCGTACAACGGAGTCCACACATGTAGCAATCCTCGATTGGAGATGAATAACAAATATGCGTCCTCTTCTTTTATATATCGATTGATTTTACCGCATCTGAGGGAGGATCTTGATCTACGACCGAAAGATATTCGTCTTTTAGTGCATAAAGTGATTAACTTTGATGTATCATACAATAAGTATTGGAATGCTAGGAGGAAGGCGATGATAAAAATATTTGGGGATTAGGACAAGTCTTATAAGATCTTACCGCATTATCTTGAAGCACTCAAAAGAGAAAATCCTGGGACTGTATATGAAGTTTCATCAGACCCTCTTGATGGCGAAGAATGACGATTTACGGGTGTATTTTGGGCATTTGGGCCTTGTATTGAGGGTTTTTAATATTATCGTTCTTCTTAGCATCGATGGCACCCACTTATACGACAAGTACAAAGGCGTTTTGCTTGTTGCCACCGGAGTTGACGTGGATGACGGTTTGTTTCCTTTGACGTTTGCAGTGGTTGATATTAAAAACACAAAATTGGGCGTGGTTTTTTACATGCATTAGATATCATATCCCTAGTGTGAGGACGCGGCCGATTACATTCATATCTGATAGGATGAAAGGAATTCCAAGAGCACTCCAACGTCATTTCCCGTTACCACATGCACATCGTTATTGCTTGCGACGTATTAGGGACAACTTCAAAAAAAATATGAAAACGATCAAGTTCAAGATTTTCTTTGGCAAGCCGGCTGTGCAACAGAAAAATTAGTTTATGACCAAATACGAGAGAGGATTAAGCTTATTTCTCGAGCTGCACATGATTTGATAGCATTGAGGTTGATATTGATGCGACCGTGCCTGAGATTCAGGATCAGGTGGCGTTAGGACTCCTCAGCAGGATCAAGAAGACCATAGCGCAGGTGTTTCATAAGACTCACGTTGACGAGTTCGCAGACCGTGATGACAGGCCTCGATCATTTGGGCTGGCGACACTCGACGCCGACGGTGCCAGGTGACGATAGACGTCGGGCACTTCGATGCCGATGAAACGGACTCACATTGCTGGATGGAGTGATACTCGCGTGCTGATTGACCAACAGTTCAGCCTGCAACACAGCGTACTCAGATTAGTTGTAGGCGCCTCGATACGGAACCGGGGCAGGCGGGGGAAGAGCCAGGGGAGGGAAGGAGGGAGAGGAGAGGGCTATTATGGGGATTTTAACTAGTTGTAAAATTTTGCTTTTACTTGTAGAAGTTTTCGAAAACAGATGTTGTGGATAATGTTTATAGCTCATGTATTTCGTGAGAGTGTGTGATCGGTGCGTGTAAAATATTAGAAGAGATAAGAATATATATTGATAATGATGATAAGATTGATATATAGATGAGAATAGGGAGTAATGGGGTAACGTGCGAAATTAGAGATAGAGTTGAAAGAGTTGAGATGGACAAAAGACAGACGGCCAACCGGGGGTGTGGTAACACCGCCAGGTTCTCTCGCTAATATCGTAGATGGATTATCAAATGTATACAACGGATTAGGACGAGCGCTCTTTGTGGCGTTGAGACGAAGGCGGATAGATAGATCTTCACTTTGGGAGAGATGGCGTTGCCTGTCATCTACATTGTATACCACACACGAGAGAGGTTGGTTATATACCACGGTAGGATGATGGCTTCCTTATTCATTAATGAAATTAAGTTTACGTACATAGTTCGTTGAACAGCTTCACCGGGGAGGCAAAATCCAGTGAAAGCTTTTGTAAATGGACACAGTATCAGTCGGGGATGACGGAACATCCACGTTGTGAATGAATTAGCTAAAAAAGATAGCTGGTATCTGTCACGGCGACGCGTTTGACGCCCGTGAACGAGTTCTTAGCAACCTATCTGTTGCAAGAATCTACTGTGTAGATATTTTACCTATAATTACATGCAGGGTCATACATACCAATATTTGCTGTTAGGAAATAAACTTAACACACAAGCTACTCATCATCAACTATCTTTATCCTATGTGAAAATTATCGTGGATGACCTCATTTTTTTTGTGAGAATAAAGTTTCGTGTACCTCTGTGATTTGTACTTTCAGCATTTATATCTCCACCTCGCCTTTTTTAGTGTGCAGATATCCCACCTAAGCTTTCGATTTTTATATAAATTATCTTCAAAGTAATATACTCTTTTTATTATATCAATTATTATGATACTCATAGTGGACATCCAATCAGTATATCGATGATTCTCTCTAGCAAACTAGTCCTGGCTCACTCTCTCGCATAGACTAAATGACATTTACAATCTCAGAGATATATGTCCATTAATCCCTCAAATCTTTGAAATTGCTCACTTACCTCAGATCCCAAGAGGTCTTGCAATTTCTTCCATCCATGACCAAAATACCCCTCAACTGATGTGTTTCTGAACAAGAGCGGGTTTGGTATGGAAAACATAAACTGAGGGGTGTTCCGGTCACCAAGGAACCAAATTGCATGACCCCTTAGGATTTAAGGGACATATGTACAATTTCAAGGATTCAAAGGACTAGTATGCAATTATGTAAGATTTGAGGGACTAATATCTAAATGACCCTTTTGTCATTTAGAAGCATGCATATCGAATTACCAGCGAGAATGCCACAAATCGGCTTTCTGGAGACCAGTCTGGCATCCCGGGTTGATGGCCATGCCACTGCAGTCTCTCCGCTGTAGGGAAGTCCTCTAGACCCAGGGCCTCACATTCTCTGCAGTCACAGAACAAGGTAAGTCAGGACATACGAAGCTTGAAATTTAAAACTAGGGTTAATTAATTGTGGATAGACCCCCCTGCAGCATTGTTATTTTGAACTTCTCTAGTTTAATTTCTGCATATAGACCCCTTGTGTGAAATTTTATTTACTCTTACCCTCAGGGGCTCACTGTCAAAAAAATCCTCATTCTCCAAGGGCTAAACAAAATCAAAAAATTCACTTAGAGGGTCTAACTAGAAACATAAAACTATAGTAGTAAGTTCAAAACAGTGATACTACAGAGGATCTATCCGCAATTAACCCAAAAAACTATCTAATGGTTCCATCAAATAGTTGGCGTAACAAGAAGAGAGCAAGCCTTGGCTCAGTATACTGATTCCAATCTGCCATGTTTTTACTGATTCAGGTGCACCAACCATCTTATGGGTAGAGATTAATGAACACTTCCTCACTTAAAAGTGAAAAAGGGTGGTATTTACTGGCGAAATTTGGTCATGAGGCGGCAGAAACGAAAGAGGTCATGAGAGGATTCCTCCTTCTTGTCCCATCTGAAGTAGTTTATCTGCAGAAATTCAGGGAATATGAAGATTAGAACTGAGGGAACGAGAATTGGGATTGAGAAGAAGGGGGGTAGCAAGGAGTTTTAAGATATCACATAATTGTCATGGCAGTATGAGTTGTTATTGCCTCCTTTAGTGTGACCATACTCATCACCCATGTAAATCATTGGAACACCCTGACAAAAAAAAACCCACACATTTAAATGAAAACTGAGAAAAACAAACAGGTCTTCCTTTACATAAAGATTCTGAAAAGGAAAATGGGAACCTTAAAACATATAGATGCTTACTTGAGAAACCATGAGGCACATGAAGAAGTTTCGCATCTGCCTTCTCCTCAGCCTTCTAACCGACATACTCGCAAACTCTCCCTCCTGCGATGATCAATAGGAAGATAATGGTTGTATTTTCCGTCTCAAAAATTTATACTTGAAAACCTAGAAGCAGTTCTTATTTATCATATTAGGTAACATATTTAATAACAAATAAGGATTCAATCTATTACGGTTCACCATACTAAGGAGATGCTCTTTCAAGAGCTACTAGTGCTTAATACTTTCATTGATGAAGCATAGTCCTCAGGGCCTTGAGTATGAGGCCTTAATGAAGATGAAGTAAAGTTATGATTTTGGCAGGTATAACGAGAATAAAGTGCTCATCCTCTCTTATCCCACTTACCCAATGCAGTCATGAACTGTTGTTTGTGGCAAGATAGGATTTACAGCAGAAGAAAGCTAGGTTATTAGCTTTCTTGAAGGTTGTTGAGTTTTACCTCACCACAGTTCCAGCTCAGATTGTGGTTCTCTCCATCTCTGTTATCTTCGCCATTGGACAAGTTGTTCTTGTTATTGTATGTAACCAGATCAGCCAAGGTAAATCCATCATGTGCACAGACAAAGTTGATGCTATTCCAGGGCTTTCTTCCTCCTCCCTGTTTCATACTACCAGTAAGCTATGCAGGTCATATTAGAGAAATAGGCATGCAGCTGTAAAATTACTCAGCAGCCAAAAAGTCACCATAAATATAACCCAAAAGCAAATATTAAAGCTACCAGATAGCATTTCTATCCTAAAGAGTGGCTTACGTGCAGGAGACAAAAAGGAGTAAAGTATCCCTAAAGAAGCAATTAATATCAGTTTGACTATCCTCCATGCCTCTTGAAGAATGATTGTCATAAGCTGCAAAATTCTTTAAAAAAAGCAATGGAATAAGGCTTATGATAATGGATTGCATGACACCTCTGATTTATAGGACAAAGAAGTAATTTTCCTCTTTTCCTTATCTTTTTCCGATGAGTAGTATAGTTAGATGAAACAGTTAGATGAAACAGTTCTCTTTACAGGGATTCACTGGCAGTGAATTGGCATTTTTTAACTTTTGTCTAATCAAAATCCCTATAGATATGTAGAGTATAGGCCAAAGCTAAAAATCAATATCCGTAGAACTAAAGGAAATAACATAAGCCTAATAAAATGATTTTATAATAATACGGTTTCCCTTTTCCATATGTCAGAAAGTAGTCACAGGTGTGAGTCAGGACCATGTCAAAGATAGTAAATGTACTAGGCAAACAGGTAAAAGACATGAAAGTTACCTGGATATCCTTTTGTTTTCTATGCATCTAGAGCATAGGTCAAAGGAAAACTATTTGGATACCAGTATGAATATTTGATAAACATGTTGCTTTCAGACAGCCAATCACAATCAGTGGATCTATCTACAACTTGCATGGTTTTCGCATGCCAATTTTCTGCTTGCAAAGTAGATCAACATGCTAATGTGTACAAGGATTACTTGTGAAATCACCTGGTACAGATTTGGGCTTCCACAAAGGCACTCTGCAAAAGCTCCAGAAAATCCATCAGTACCTTTGATGAACTGCCTCACAATGTCCCGATACTGAATAAAGAAGAAAACTGAGAGTCGAACACAAGCATATGGTTTGAATAGGAACTAAAACCATTACGCTGACCATGCTAATCAGTACCACTACATAAACATCGAACATGTTCGAAACTTCTGTTTTTCTTTATTCATTCTCAAAAAAAGTACATTATTTCAAGTAAAACTGTAAAGTAACAAACAGTTTTTGCATAACTGTTGAACAATAGCTGGGAAAAGTTTGCCACATGATAAAGCAATTTATGGTCAAGATTCTTGAAGACGGTTACATAAACCAAGCACAAGCTCCCCAATGGTCCTCCAAAATGCCCGCTTTCCACAACTCCCCCACCCCTCCCCTCCCCAAAAAAAAAAAATAATAAACCTGGCCCTGCCCGGGATAATAAGAAGAAGATGAAGAAAATAAAAATGCAACCGCCACTACTACAACATACCTACCCACCACAACCACGGAAACTCAATTACATATGCATGCATTCTCCATGAACAAAATCTAGTCACATGCTATTGTGATAGGGAAGGTTATCGCAACTTTCTTTATGATTCAAATGCTACCGCTGACAAACAAAAGTGATGCTAAAAAATAATAAAGCATATTTCTAGTACAGAATAATAAAGCACTTAACAAGCAAATTACTAACCTGGACATTCCATTCAAATGCTAGCGCTGACAAACAAAAGTGATGCTAAAAAAATAATAACGCATATTTCTAGTACCGAATAATAAAGCACTTAACACAAGCAAATTGCTAACCTGGCCATTCCACTCTGACCAAGTCTTCCAATGAGGAAACTGACCAACTTGGTACAGCCCTCCAGCATCCCATGCCTCAGCAATGAGCTAATAAACATGAAAAGTAGAAGAAAGACATCAGATTCTTTTCCTAAAAGAAACAACAGTAAGTAATTGGATGAGGATGTCCACAGCTTATCTGGATAATCCAGCAATTCTATAGCTAACTCAGTTGGTAAGTCAGAAAAGAGACAATTTAACCAGATAACAAGAGCACATTATACAAATGCCATACGAGACAGCAATAAGTCATTCTTGAATAACTAAACACAACATGGAAACAACACTCAATGTATATATTATATATATAAATATTGTCCTATACTTAATTCATAATTTGAATGATAGATGGTGACAATAATAAACAAACATAACAAACATTAAACAAAACAACCAACAACAAGAGGTGTAGTGGTCACTGTACATTCATATTCCAGCAATTTATGATGCACTATCAGTTTAAAACTCAACCAACTAACAGGTGCATCCTCCATTAAATTGAATCGCAGTAAATCAGTTTAATCTTTCAGACTTGGGAATATGATACATTTTGGAGACAACTTCAGGATCAGTTAACATGAATCAACAAATACAAAAACTGGAGAATGCAAGACATGCTCCTCGAGGTATCCGTTTCACTTACAACATTATTGCTGTTAATGGTAAAAGCTACAATCCCAGAACTCAATCGTATGATGTTTGAAAAAGCATGAACAAATCGTTCCCAGTTATAGGATCATTGATGTTTTTTTATTAATTTAGTAGGCATAGCTACCTTGATTCCACGGAGGATTGGATCATTGCTGATCATATCAATGAGTGGAGGGCTACTAAGTGGAGTTCCTGTTGTCAAAGTGTCTCCTTCAACTGGGTTTCCATATACATTAGCAGCTTCCCATTGACTTAAGAAGAGAGTAAAATATAAGCATTTAACAGGAAATATATGTATGTGCGTGCATGTACTCTACCAAAATTATTGACATACCTAGAAGCCCTGGTCATTATTGATGCTAGATCGAAGCGAAAGCCATCAACATGCATTTCTATTACCCAGTATCTGCAACATTAAAAAAATACCTGCAGGTCAACTAAAGAAGTGGTTATCAACGAAGAACAAGCCTTCGCTAAATATATTCTTGCACTAATCTGTTTGCATATTGCTCCAAGTAATATAACGAGCATTTTCTCTATGCTCATTGATGTTATTTATTTTCAAATAAATGTTATTCTTCCCAGCTAAGATGTTCTGATGTTGATGAATGATATTTAAAGCTATATAACATGCAAGCTTGAACTAATGTATGCATAATATGCCCGGAAAAGGATAGAGCAGAAAGGAAACTTGTAATGTCATTTGCTAGCCAAACATCTAACTAAGAAAATATAAAATTAAAGATTCACATATATTTGGAGACTTTACCTCAGACAATCTAATATGAATTGACGAACAATAGGATGATTGCAGTTAAAGGTGTTTCCACAACCCGAATAATTGTAGAACTCACCCTGTAAAAACATAAAATAGTGCAACTTCAATTAACTGAATGTCTACAACATGGCCATATGCAAGTCAAATGGAAAAATCTGGGATCCATCCAAAGATAGGGGGGAAATTGTAGCAAGTTGTAAAATTTGAAATCAATAAGGTATTTAGTCAACAATAATCAATGCAAGGTAGTTTATCAGAAAAATGAGTGAAATTTTATATTATTAAATTGTAAATAATCCTAAGCAGTTGACAAAGAAAGGATATTAACTGACGTTTTGGCTTTACTCTCTAGCAAATAGGAAAAACCTAGTTTATTGACAGACCTCTATCTTTACCTTAGGTGCAAGCATATAATAAATGCTGTTGTCAACACCCCTGAAAGATAATATAGGACCGTTCTCATTACCTTCAGCTGTATGATTAAATACAACATCCAAGATTACCTGCCAAGTAAGTGGAAGTTGTTACATCTGGAAAGGTAAACTCGCAGTACAGCCCAGGCAATAAGTTACCTCGATTCCTCGTTTATGAGCTTCTCTAACCAAACTTTTGATTTCATTTATTGCATCACGACCACAGTTAGTTTCTCCAGAAGATGAGTATCTCATCATTGGCGAGAAGTAATTAACTGTCGAGTAGCCCCAGAAATTCAGCCTGACAATAGGAAACAAAATTGTTATAAGAAAAATGGCAACAGGTCCCAAGACCATATATATATGGTGAAAGAAAACAGTAGGTTGTTGCTTTCTGGATAGCTGTGAACATATAGATGGCACACAATTATGACAAGTTTTAATAAATTGTTATTGCCTGAAACAACATATCCAATGCTGCATCAAATCAACATTGAATATCAATGTTGTACTGCCACGAAATTTGCATTGGAAAGAAATGAAGGGAAAAAACTAAATTCGTTCAAATTCACCAAATTGGTCCTTTGTTTGAAAATTTATTGACTTCCAAGTGTGTGGTAACAAATAAAAATCTTTATGGAGAAACAAATAGCAAACTAATTGGTTAGCCAAAGAATTGTTAACTAAGCAACTAATCCTTGATTGGATATATAGATTCTACAAAGCCCACCGTAAGTGTAGGAGTGAAAGGGATAGGAAGAAAGGTGAGAATCATCCAAATTATGACCAATATGGAGTCAAACAAAGCTCTAGCCATGGAATTCTTGTAAGAAAATTTAGATACTTAAAAATGCATACACATATATGCATATACATGCATGTACATACATATCTTACAAACAAATGCATGTACAAATGCGTACATATGCATATACATGTGTGTACACTCTTATACATACACACACATGTACATATAAATACATACACGTATATATGTATATCACATGCATACCAATATTAAGTTTTCAAGAGCTTCGTAGAGTGAAGTTAGTTACACACCTATAACATTACACTTTTGCCCATCTATATCGTAAATCAAAACCGTTCATTATTATCTACATGTCATGAAATGTATGTAGATAAAAAATCACATGGCTTGAAATTTTTTATCCTATAATTCAAGCAACTCAAAATAACCAACATTTTAGACTGTTACAGACCATTCATTTTTAGGTTATTAGATGTATAACCTAGAAATATTTAATCTATGTGATTTTTTATCTCTATGAAGCTTTCAATGCATAGATCATAATGAAAGTGTAGATTGTTACTATGTATGGCCAAACATGTATTTTTATAGGTGTGTATAACTTAGTTACACCATGTGTGTATTATAACCCTACCCCCCTCCCACACACACACATACATATGCATGCGTGTTTGTGCACATGTGTATACCGATACCAATCATGAGTAGGCCTATTTTAGCCTTGATACGAAGCTAGCATGTGGGGAATGTAATATGAAAACTTTGGTGGATGGTCCACTTAAGTTGACATAAGTTTTTCTATGTGTGTGTGTGCGCGCGCGCTCTTTATAGCTATATCTTCTTCGTGGTTTACATGTATATCAAAGAATAGCAAAAAGTAAAAAATGAAAGCAAGAAAATAAAACAACGAAAGTTAAAAGAAAATAAATAAAGAGTAATACTACAAAGAGAACATAAAACACAAACTAGGTAGTAATATAAAGAGCAAACTTACATACTAGAATAACTTACAAAAACTGGTAGCTAGGAGATGAACTAGCCAGCACCAGAGTAGTCGTAGTACACACTTAACACACTCACACTCTTATCTTACAAAAAACTTACAAAAGAAAATTTACAAAGCAAAACACACACACAAACTTAAGAAGAAAAAGAAGAGAGGGAAACACTAAGTTCTTCTTTCTCTTTCTCTCCCGAATCTCGCTAACTTCATGACATTCTCCTCTATTTATAAAGCCCTTTTCTCCTTTTAACACTATTTGTAGATTCCCTTTCATGATGCATGAGACTCATAAAGATAATTTTTTTCAAAACCTATCATAAAATAGATCATTGAGACATTGTAGTATTTTCAGCCGGAATTGTTATTTTGTATGGAGTTTTTGATAGCTCCTCTTTTTAGCTGTGATTCAACATTGCATCAGAGTTTAACACTTTCTAACTGCTAAAATATATTCTTTTCAAATGATCGACTTATTTTTAAGTCATTAAGTATTAATCATATTTATTGTTTTACCATGATTTAATGGCATGTCAACATATTTTCCTATGAGTTATTGTTTCTGCTAGATCACTATCAATGGATGCACAACCTAGAGAATAAATTTCTTCTTCTTGATATTCTTTTGTTGCCATAAAACCGTCATATACCTTTCTTATCTCTTGACCAACTGGTGGATTACAATAGCTCATAGATGGGAAAACATGTGACATACCATTAAATCATGGTAAAACTCTAAATATGATTAATAGTTAACGACTTAAAAATAAATCGATCATTTGAAAAGAATATATTTTAACAGTTAAAGATGATAATCTCTGATTTCAATATTGAATCACAGTTAAACAGGGCAGCTATCAAAAACTCTAGACGAAATGACAATTCCATTTGAAAATGCTACATACAATGTACTGTCAAGATCTAAAATAGTCCTACTTAAATTATTTTACATGAGAAATTCATAACTATAAATCTTTCTCTTATTTGATTAATTTGTTTAGCAAATTGTTCATTTTTTTAAAGATAGACTAAACGAATCATATAAACTCTGATTTGCTTTTTTTTTCTTGAGCACATATGCTTTTCCAGAAATTGTTGATGAGCATATAAGCAATTGATTGAATATTCTATCTAACATACTACTCTGAGTAACACTAGAGTGAATTGCATTAGAGAAAAATTTATCCCTTTCAGATTCTTTAAAAAAACAACACATCTAGTTAGCACTGCTAATAGACAGGCTCTTAAAGCAAGATATAAACTTACTAATCCTTATATTTGCAACGGAGTTCTTAAAATCAGACCTTCCTTTGTTTTGTTTAAAGACCTTAAGCAATGTATTATTTTAGGAACTCTTTTTATTAATAATCTTAAGCCTTTTATTATTGATAATCATGGCATTCGTACAAATGCAGTCCTAATGTTTCTTTTTGGTTTAATAAAGAACCAGAAAATATTTTTAGATAATTGTCTATGCCTTACATTATAAAGAAAATTTATAATTATCCTTTCTAATATAGAAGATGAGATTAATAATCATCCAAAATATAGATACTTTGATATGCCTGTTCAAATGGATGAAATTATTTTATCTCTCTGCAAAGAAGAAATTGAAGATCTGAATAAAGATAATTTAACAAAAATTTCCTATGACAAGTATGGATTCTAGTGTTCTTGAAATATTATTTTTATAAATGTCAAGAGTTTCTTATTTTACGACGAAAAAAAATAAATACTTTTTTTAGAAAATTCTAAAGAATATTAAAAACAATTAGAAATAAGTTTTGGATATTTTAATGAAATATTAGACTCAAATAATCACTTTAGAAAATTTTGCAGGAGAAGGGTGCTTCATCAAGCTTCAAGCTCACAAGCTAAAAGAAAATTTCATCGCTCAAATCAAGCAACATATCGCTCAAACCAAGTGACATCTACTTGTTCAAATCAAATACATTTCTCGAAAGAGTTAAACTATTTCTATGATCCAGAATTACAATCCACTGAATATTTGCTCATCAATGATTTATAGAACATACATGCTCAGGAAAAAAGCAAATCAAAGCTTATATGACTCATTTAGTCCATCTCTCAAAAAAAAAGATGAACAATATGCTAAACAAAATAATTAAATATGAGAAAGATTTATAGATCTTTCAACCAAGATTAATTATCTCTATCCTTATAAGGTAGAATTAACATCTGATGAGATCTTAAAATTTCTTAATGTCCCAGAATATATTCAAGAAGACATCTGCAAAGAACGTCTAAACAGAGACGTTATGGTCAAAATTATATATTTTGCCTCGGGATATTCAAAATTTTATCAAAGAAAAGGTAGAAGATAATAATATTATTCTATCTCTAAACGAAAACAAGGATTTCACGATTCTTATAGAAAATAACTCTCTTAGATATGCTGTTAGTCTTCATGAATTTCCTACATTTATACCTCAGATAGATATTCTCTCAAAGTTGAGAATTATTATCCAATGAGGTTTAGAGGATTACCCGCCATTGTCCAGACAGTCATCTTCCTATCACTAATAAGTCTTGTAAATCTTCAATTCAATATTATTGCTATATTACAGGAGATTACTATAGTCTCAGGACTTCATTCCTACTCTCAGTTCCGTGAAGAATGCTATGATGTAGGGTTGGATCGTTTCTAAACTATCATCCACTTTTTCAAAAGACTTGAATATTTGATTGAGGATAATGTATATTATACGGCAGATGGGCTTAGAACCATATGTGCAAATATTAATATGGGAGAAGTTTCTCGCAAGCGAAACAAAGACGGTCATAGAACAATGGAGGACTAACCGACCAATTGGTTCAGAGACGAGAAGTATATGATGTTAACAAAAGAATATTAAGAAGAAATTCATTCTCTAGGTTGTGCATCCATCGATAGTGATCTAGCGAAAACAATAGCTCATAGATGAAAAAACATGTGACATACTATTAAATTATGGTAAAACTCTAATATGATTAATACTTAACGACTTAAAAATAAGTCATCTTTGGGAGTCTCATACATCATGAAAAAGCATCTACAGATAGTGTTAAAAGAAGGAAGGGACTATAAATAGAGGAGAATGCCATGAAGTTAGTGGAGGTTTAGGAGAGAGAAGAGAGAAAACTTAGTGTTTCTGAGTGTTTGTAAGATAAAAGTGTGTTAAGTGCATTATTAGTACTCCGGTGCTGGCTAGCTCATCTCCCAACTACTAATTTGCATAAGTTGTTCTGATATGTAAGTTTGCTCTATATAAATATTACTATCTAGTTTGTGTTTTATGTTCTCTTTATAGTATTGTTCTTTACTTATTTTCTTTTAGCTTCCATTATTTAATTTCTTGCTTCTATATTTACTTTTTACTATTCTCTGATATACATGTAAAAAAAAACTTGGTTGTATCAAAGCTAAAATGATTCTGATCACGATTGGTATCAAAGCCAAGTTAACCGGTGGAGGAGGCGAACAGCTGTAAGTAAAACATATCTATAGCCCTCTAGTGTATATCCATACTTA